GTTAGTCCTTAACCCTCTTTCCCTCTCTCCCCCCTCCACAAGTAACCACTAATCTCCTTTCTGTCTCTATGAATTTGCCTGTTTTGGACATTTCATATATGGAATCACATACTATGTGGTTTTTTGTGATTGGCTTCTTTCATTTAACATGATTTTTCAAAGTTCATCCAAGGTATAGCATGTATCAATACTTCATTGCTTTTTATTGTCAAATATTCCATTTTATGTATATACCACATTTTATACTTTTTTATTTTGCTTTTTAAATTTAATGCTTCTGAGAGACTTCTGCTTCTGGGAAGGGTGAGTCCCGTCCCCCCCCCCCCCCCCAAGCTTTTTTGCCTCATACATCACAGACTTGGGGCTAGAGAAGCCGACAACCTGCAAACATCAAGCACAGACCAAAAAAAAAAAAAAAAAGCTCCAACCAAAGTCTGCTCTCTTTAGCCAAAGAACCAGGGAAGGGGAGGCTTAAGCAAGATAGAAAACTTTAAGACAATAGCTGCTCTACTCCCAACACACAGAAAACAACTGTGACCCTATCCCCGCCCATGTCAGCAAAGGCCAAATGGTTAGCTCCGACGTCCACTCTCTGGGGGCGGCCTATAACTTAGATTCTTTACTGACAGGCATTGGGTGGTCTCCAGGGTTTTGCTGTTAACAATCAGTGCCTCAGTGTCCCTCCCTCTTATCTTTGGGCATCTGTATAAGTGTTTCTTCAGAATATATTTCTAGATGTGAAATTGTTGGGTTAATAGCATGCAATGAAGCCTTCAAAAATGACTGTTGGATGACATCAAAATATGGAAATATATAGGAAGTATTACATTTTCAGCATACTTTTTTTCTGTTGTTCAGATTGGGCAATTGCTATTGATCTGTCTTCTAGTTCAGTGATTCTATCCTCTGTCACCTCCATTTGCCTGTTGACCCTGTCCTCTGAACTTTTAATTTTAGTTATTGTATTTTTCCAAAGTTTCCATCTGGTTCTTGTTTACATCTTCTGTTCCTTTGCTGAGGCTTTCCATTTTTTTCATTTGTTTCAAGCTGTTCATAATTTCTCATTGAAGCATTTTTATCATGGCTGCTTTAAAATTTTGTCAGATAATTCTAACATCTCTGTCATCTTGATGTTGACATCTTTTGAATGCCTTTTTTCATTCAGTTTGATATGGTTTTTGGTATGACAAGTGATTTTCAGTTGAAACCTGTACATTTTCATATTATGTTATGAGATTTGATCTTGTTTAAACCTTGTGTTTAAACTTCTCTGACCCTGAAATAAGGCTTCTCTGTCACTGCTCTCTGGAGGGGCTTGGGAGGGAAGGGCAGTGATACTCCCCTTAGCCAAGGGGAGATAGAAGTCTAGATGCCCCACCTGGCCTCCATTGATACCCAAGGTGGGGAGGCTCCTCGTTACTGCTGGGCAGGGGTGTAAGTTCCAGCTTCCTGTGTGGTCTCCATTGACACCCCATTTGAGGTGGTCTCATGACCTATAGTTGTGGTGACAGTCCTCACTACTCTCTATTGAACCTCCTCTGACCCCCACCCTAGCAGCGAGGAGGAGGCGTTCCTTGGTATTGGCTGGCACGGTTGAAAGCCCTGGCTTCCTCCTTGGCCTGCCCTGACCCCATCCTGATGGGGAGCATTACAGCCTCCAGAGGACTGATTACATTAAATTGGGAATCAAATATAAATTGTAAAAAAGATATGTAGTATGATCCCATTTTAAAAAGAAAAAAGTAGTATGTACATAGAAAAAAAACGAGACAAATACGGTAAGTAACAAACTAGTTGAATGGCTCAAGGGTAGGGGAATTCTGACTTTTGTAGTGTTTCAGTTTTTATTTATTTTTAAAATAATGAGTTTATATTGCTGTTAGAAGTAGTAAAAAGAAAAGTTCTTTTTAAAAGGGATACTTTTCTTAGATGCTATTGTTAGACATACCTATGTGTTAATTTTTATTGTTATTAATAAAAAACTGGGTGTAGAATAAATGTATTCTGATTTCCAGTGGGTAGTGATTTATATCATAGTATCCTCCTCAGTCAATTGTACCAATAAGTTGTATTCAATGTAGTTCATACTGAAGATAGGAATTTTGATCCTTTAACTTAAAAGGAATTTTATTGAAATGTTGAAATGGAATTTTATGAGTACAACATGGGTTAAAGGAGCAAGTTTTTGACTTGTGACTTCTGGAAATCCAAGTTTTTCCACAATTCCACTGTACTTTACAAAAACATCATCTGGCTAGAAGCTCCCAATTTTCTAGTGCCATTAAAACTTTGGAACAACTTGTACATCCAAAATTTATTGGAATTGTTTTGAGTTTGGGGAATAGTTAATTAAAAGGCAGTTTTTCAGTTCTGACTTGAGTATGCATGCCTTTATTTTCGTTTGCATAAAGGAAAGTAGTTTTATAAGGAGGTGAGATGTGTAACAGCTTGTGATTCACCTGAAAGAGAAGTAAATTGGTAAAATTGTTAGAAATTTATAGACAAAGGAGGTGAAAGCAAAGGGGCATTTGTATCCTGACCAGGTCTTCATGAAGCAGCAGTCCGTATACCGAGCGAGATTCCTCTGTCGTGCTCTAGGATATGCTCTGTAGACCACTGTAGGAAATTACCATGTGTTTTTCACCTGTGGCCAGTCCCTTCTATCTCCAGCAGGCTTTAGTTTAAGACAGTGGTTCTCAACCTTCCTAAAGCCGCGACCCCTTAATACAGTTCCACATGTTGTGGTGACCCCCAACCATAAAATTATTTTTGTTGCTACTCTATAACTGTAATTTTGCTACTGTTATGCATCATAATGTAAATGTTTTTTTGTTTTCCGATGATCTTAGGCGACCCCTGTGAAAGGGTCATTTGACCCCCAAAGGGGTCGCAACCCACAGGTTGAGAACCGCTGGTTTAAGGTGTTTCCACATGCCTACATGTAACGTTTTTGTTACGCCTTTTTACCAATTTAATTATTTTAATACCACTATAACAGGCAGCTTGGGAAGTTACAGTTAATTTTACAGATTAAATAAATGGAACAGGATGAAAACCTTGAGTCAGACTTGCTCTTTGTTAACCAAACTTTATTGCTTTTTCAGTAAGTCTCAAATTTGGTATGCTTTTTCTTGTATTTATACTTATGCTGCTAAGCATGTTAAAACCAAGAAGGGGAAAAGAGGCAAAACAACAGTGGTGATAAAATTTGGGCGTCTAAAGCAACAAGCATGTGTGAAAATATTATCAAGCTATATAGAAAAGTAATGAGTTAACTTTTTCTTACCTGTAACAAACTGTATGTTACCAGTGTTCCATATGTGTTTGTATGATGAGCATCTTCAAAACAGCAAATTTGAGTACCAGTTTGTTACATAGTAAGATGACTGAGTCCTAAAACCTGACTTGTGCTCTGAAGAGGAATATGGTCCTAACCTTCCCACACCAGTGTTTCTCAGTGTGGCCTGCAAATGCCTTACTTTGTGATCTCCTTGGGTGCCTATAATGAAATCAGGATTCCTGGGCCCCACCCCAAGAATTCTTCTGAATCAGAATCTCTGCATGTAAGGCAGAGAAATATTCACTTTAAATGTTTTCTTTAGGTTATTCTTAATCACTCTAAAGTTTAAGAACTAGACCTTCTTTAGGAAGGAAATTTTTGTACAATTTACAGTATTAGAAATTAATATGATTTATTCTTGCTACAATTTTGGGTATGTTTTGTTACTGATAAAGAATGATCATATACGCTTACCCCCCCCCCCCCCCCCAAGCTCAGTGATAACCATCCCATGCAGTCTGATTAGGGTAGGGTTCTGGGATCCTCCTTATATGTCCATTTGGTTTGTTGGTTGCATTATGTCTAATCAGGTAACTGGTTTTATTTTTTTTTACCACTCCTCCCTTCCCCCCCCCCTTTTCACCATTACTTAGAAATTAATGACTTAACTAACACAGCATTTTGCTGAAATGGCTCCTTAATTTTTTGAGAGTTACTTTAGGATAATAAACAGTACTTTTACCAGCATCTTTGAATGACTTGAAAATTATTCCTGGCTTTCTCCATAGACTTCATGGTGAAGAGGGCTGTGTTGGTCCCTAGCAAGTGCTGGAATGTTCTCTTTTAGCATGCTGGCTCCCCCTCCCCCAGTCCCCCATTTCCCGCTTCCCTTCCTCCCTCCTTTTTAAACTTGGGGCATACATGATGGAATTAAGATTTGTTCCACTCGGATTTTTTTAGGAAAATCCTACTTCATTGTTGAACTCAGGGAAGTCAATTGCTGCATTGATTAAGTGGATTACAAATAGCTGATTATAAAGATATGTTTGTTATTGTCTTTTCTCCCCAAAGGAATGTGTAAAACAGGATATGTAATTTTTATAATGAATATTTTTTAAAATGGGGGTTGGGGGGACTTGGCAATAATTTAACTCTTTGGAGACAGACACACCTACAAGTTTCCGCTTTTATGTTGCTCTATAAAGAATGTTGTCTCAAAGAACAAAAATTGACTTATATTTTATAAAACTCACCAGAGACCTTGTCTTTGCCCTGAGGCAGGGATGTATGTCTGTGTCCCCTAGGGATTGATCAGACCTGTGCTGCCCTATATGGTAGCTGTTAGTCATGTGTGACTACTTATATTTAGGTTAATTAAAGGTAAATAAAATAAAAAATTCAGTTCAGTTGAACTAGCCACATTTTAAGTACTCATTAGCCATATGTTACAAATGATTACCATATTGAACAATGGTAATACAGATAATTTCTGTGATTGCAGAAGTTCTCTTGGACAGTGCTATGCTAGACCGGCCATATTTAAGAAGAGAAAGAGGCAAATGAATGAGCAAAATAATAAAGACCTGAATTTCCACCCTTTCTTCCACAATGCAACTTTTCTTGTCTTCTTGTATCCTTGATTAAAATTCAGAACAAGATCTATCGTTTTGAGTGTCATCATTTTGACCTTGTTTTTTTAATGTTTCTTTCTGTTTTCCAGGCTGGCAGTGATGGCGAAAGCATAGGAAACTGCCCTTTTTCCCAGAGGCTCTTCATGATTCTTTGGCTCAAAGGAGTTGTATTTAGTGTCACAACTGTTGATCTGAAAAGGTAAGACTTAGTTGCAGTTTGGGATCAACCTAAGTTGAGTATTTACCTACCTGATCCTCTCAGTTTGATCCTCTCCCTAACCCTCATTTTGCTTGAAAATGTTCTCTAAAGAAAATACATCTCATTAAAAGTTAAGCTGATATATATAGACAAATTTAACTCGTATAAATATTAGGGTAACTCACAATATCAGGAAATTGCATATGGCCACTCAGTCTTTTTAGGAATGTACTCTATGTCTGCCTCAAATTTCCAGAGCAGCACCAGGCTAAGTTTCAGTGTGGATACAGTGAAATTTTTAACTTTACCGTGTAAACATGCAGCTATGGAGAACTTTCTAAGCAGACAGTTCTTGGTCTCAAGTGTGCCAGACACGTGGCCTAGATTATCTGGATCCTGAAAGACAGGAATGGGATTTTCAGAGGATAAATACTGCTGTGGGCTATTTCATTTAATCTACTTTTCAGGGAATAGTAGGTATTTTTAATAATACGATATAAACCATATTTAGCTAAATATAATTGTAAAATAAGAATAGTTATCCGTGACCCTGTGATTGTTTTTGCTTGTTGAAGAATGGCTTCTTTCTCTTCACAGTCTGTAGCGGAGAGGACTGAGAAGAGCTTTGATAAGTAGAGAAATGTCTGTTCTTCCCCAGCAAATAGGTCTGAAGTGAAGAACATTCATACTTTAAAAAAAAAAAAAAAAGATTTAAATGAAGGGTTCAGAACAGTTATATTAACAGAAAATCTACGATTCAGCAGTGGAAATGTATTCCTCTTGAAGCAAATGCCAAAATATGGCTTGCTGCTTATTTTTTAAGCACATCAGTCATGAACAGTGTTTAAGAAAAAACACTGACAGGCTATCACTTGATGGGTGGTAGAATTCATTTATGTTACGGGCTTCATGAAGTGAGAGTTATCTGAGGTATAATTCCACTCCCAGCTCTAGGGTCCTCTGTCAGTCCCTAAAAATGTATTCTTACTTACTACTGGTACACTTACTTGAGATTTTGCAGACTTAAAATTTATTTATTGAAAATAAGCCATGAAGTCTTCCAGGAACCCCTTAAGTTATGTGTATGAATGTAGAGATCAGCCTTTAGGGATAGTAAGAGTTAAAACTACATGCTCTTTCAAAGACACACCTGGCTCATGTTGGACAGAGCAGCAGTAAGAATGAAATAACTCATGTAGTTATCCTTCTATTACTGTTTTTTTCCTACATGATTTCACAAAGGAAATTTCCCAATGTAACTCCTAAAAATAGACCATGCCACCAGGCACACACCCTTACTGCGTCTTAAAATACATGGATTTCTCCCATTCCATTTTTGGGTTGGAGCAAGTGAGTTGACTGCCATGCTTCCAAAAAATCCTTTGAACAGCTCAGTACAGTGCTTGATTGTGGAACATACTGGACAGAGATGGTGCCATAAACGATGATGATCTGATTCAGAAAAGGAAGTGAACACATAATGGCTATTTCAAAGTCATCGGTTTCACTTTTCATTTACAAACCTTTTAAGGCATTATTCCTGTAAGTTGGTTGATATTTGAGAATTTGTATATGTTTAAGAGTAATGTACCCTGCATGTCAGAGGTGACAGACACATGGGAAGTACAATGTGAGATTCAGGGCGTCCTATTAGAAAACACTACCACTCAAAGAAAATGTACATTTATTTCCTAGGGCTTTGTGTAAAATCAACAGAGAGCACTTAAAGTTGGAGCCTATACTTTTTAGTTTTCTTTAGAAATCTTAGGTCTACAGTACATTAAAAAAAAATGCTTCTTAAGGGCAATTAAAAGTATACAAGCAGTACGTGATAATGAGTCCCCTGCAACCCTAGTCCCTGGCCATCCACTTCCTTTTCACAGATATTATTGCATTTAGGTTTGGTTCTCATCCTTCCAGTCCTTTCTGTGAGTTTACACTTACAGCCTTGAGTTAGATTTCAAAGAGAAGGTACCTCAAGAAAGTGAACATTGGCTCAAACAGCCAGTGTAAAATAAAGTCATGGAGGAATAAAACATCTTGTAGTAAAAAGCACCTTTCATAATATAGTCTTAACTTTAAAACTTCAAATATGACTGTTTTTAGAAAGCTGTAGGGGAGAAAATGCCCATAGTGCATATTTTCCTGCTTTCCTGATAATTGCCCAGTTTCTTGGTGAAAAGTACTGATTCCAGAACAAACCTGGAGAGCAATAGAACTCTCCTGAGAGCTATTTAGAAGCCCACTCTGCACTCTGAAAAAAGGACTGTTACATGACATTTCATCCTTAAAATCAAGCCACTTTTTCTAATAGTTCAGGCACTGTGTGACATGTTCTCTTTGAATCTCAGTTGGTGTTAATGACTACGCTGGTGGTATTTATGTGCCCCTGTGAAACTGGGAACAGTCTCCCGTTGCTTGCCCGCCAGTGCTGCCTTCATGCTTTAGTGGAGTCATTTCTAGACCTAATTTTCTGTTCATGCTGCAATTTTATTACAGAACTTTTAGATGAAAAAAGTGCCCAGGCTTCAGGAGGAATTTAGGTGTACATCAACCACCATTTGAGCAAAAGCTTCAAATAAATATAAGTGAAAATATTAAAATTTGGGGCCTATATTTAAAGATGTTATCACATTTCACCAAAGGGGAGCAGCTGTGGCCTGGCAGAAAGGATCGGGTGGAGACCTGGTTCTGTATGGAGAGAGCCCTGGTGCCGACTTCCCTGGGACCTTAGACAAGCTGCCCCATTTTTTTTTTTTTTTTAGCTGAGCCATCCTGCTACCTGTTGGCAGCTCAGCGGCAGCTCAGCTTGGGCTGGACTTGAACCGCTGTTGCTCAGAGCTCAAACTCTTGAGCGAGCTCTTAACCAACTGAGCCACTCAGCCGGCCCCCAAGCTGCCCCATTTTTAAATTCAGGAGAAAAGAAGGGAAAATAAACTAACACTTCTTCAGTGTCTATGTGCTAAATGCTGTTCAGGATACTTTTATAGTACTCTTAAACCATTTTTCAGACCTGTTATTGAATAGAATTCATTGTTTTATCACACTGGTATAATAGGGCCTTTCTGGCTGACAGGTTTCTGGCTGCAATCAAGACCTTTATTTGAAGACTTCCACTATCTTCATTGTGCCCAGAAGTTCCTAAGTCAGAGATCAGCATCTATAGAGCACAGATAAGCCTGAGAGGTAGGCAAGTAAGAGAAAGAACAAAGTATGAGAACAGAGAGTGGGGAGGGCAAAGCTGAGACACTGACTTGGATACAGCTGAGTGTAGCCATGTTTATCACATACTTGCTGGGATAAACTTTTCTGGTTTTGAGAGATGAGAGTAGAAATGATAACTTTAAGAAATTAACTTTTTATTGTAAAAGCAGTGATATCTGCTATATTACCAGTGAAATAAAATCCCTCTTCCATGACATTCTCTAGGAAAAAGAAATAAATTGGAGAAGACCACTTTTTAGAAGTCCGGGAAATATATGTTTCCATTTTCCCATTTCCCCCATTTCCTCCTTTGCACTGCCACTACTGATTTCCTTCTTGAAATGTGAACATACTCATACCGTTTGTAACATACTGTGTGAGGCAGAGGCACAGGTAAGTTGCCATAATAATGGGAGATTATTATGGTAGTTTAAACTTTAGCAATTTTGTAATAGTTTAAAATGTTACAATGGAACACTAAAACTGATAATTCTGCACATCTTAAAAGGCAGTTATAAACTCAGAACATAATCTGATTTCCAAATAGTTTCTTCAAATAGATTGCTTTCATTATTTGTCTGTGGCCCCTGCGTTCTGAAAACAGCCTTCATTCAGCAAGTTGATAGATCAGTTTGATTTCCAGGTAGGTCTTCAGTAACCGCAGTGTGAATGACACCTGCAGAGAAACTACATGGAACGGAACAGGCCTGCCTTTTAGAGAAATCACCCATTTGCGGCTGCTGGCCAGTTAGGAAAATACAGACTTGATTCTTCCCTTTGTAAATATGACTTGAGCTACATGAAGCCCTATTAGAACAGTCCTACAAATCAAGATACGTATTTCATGAATGCATTCTGAATGACATGTACGTTCTGTGTGTGTGTGTGCGCGCGCGCGCGTGTGCATAAGAGAAATATTTACATACAGACAGACAGACAGGGAGAACTTTGCTGCCATGTCTTTATGTTCTTTTTCAAGATGATTTCAAAGATGATAAATCCTGTTGAGGCCACTAAGAGCTGAATTAGAAATATGTTAGTGCATTTGTCTAAACCTGTTATCAATATAAACTCTCCTTATAAACGGTTAATAAAATATATGAAGAATTATAGACGCTGTATTTGAAACCTTTTCATGGATGCCCTTTTGTTTTAAAATGATTGCTTCTGAAATTAACATTAAACATCAGACAAAGGTTAGCATATACCACATTTAATAAATAAAATCCTTTAACTGGTTGAAGTGGTACAAATAGATGCTCAGTAACTGGGATCTTGTGTGTTTTGGTGAGTCCATGATTCACTGATGTTTTAATTAGTGACTTTAGTATTAGTGAGACTACGTATAACAAATCTAGTGAAGAATAATAGGAATAAATTGAAACAAATAAATGATTTATGGTGTTAACTTTTTTTTTTTTTGCTTATTTGCTATAGAGGGTCTGATACCCTCTTGATTTGTGTGAATTAATTTTGTGCTTTGAAAATGAGCACCTTCAGAAGGGAAGTTCTACCAACTTAGTATTTTTTTCTTCGTTTAGTGAGTCAGCTGGTTACAACCAGGTCATCATTAGAGACCAGCTTCTGTGTCCCATGGCTGTGCTGTTCTCACTTTATGCCAAGCAGCTGGAACTGAGCCTCCAGGCCCATGTCCTCCAATTGTTGCAAGTGTACCGAATTAAATTTTAATTGAAGTTAAGCCGCTTAAGTTGCTTCAAGTAGGAGTCTCATTTCTTTCTTTCCCTCTCTGTTTCTTGTTTTAATTTGTGTCCCTTTATTTCCATTTCTTCATCTGTAAACAGAATGGGAGAGAACAGAATTTTTTTTGTCATCTAAAAGACTACTATATAAAAAAAGGACTTTGATAAATAACATTAAAAATAAAAAAACCCCAAAATCTCAAAGAGTATTTGTACTGTTATCTCAAGGCGTGAATTCTGTACCCTTTACATTTTCTAGCTGTCACTCAAGGGAAATATTTGAATGAGTTTTAATGAACTGTTGAATATTTATTGAAGGCCTTTGATGATACAAACCAAAGATGTCCTGAAATTTTCAGCCATTGTCTATTGGTCCAGTTTCGTTTATCTTACACTGCAGTTCCTAAAATGTTAAGTTTCTGTGAAGTGTCTGTAAAGTGAGCCTTTGTGGGTCAGACAAAACACCTGCGGCCTCAGTGCCAGGTGGACTAGAAGTTGAAGAATCTTAGATGCTGTTTGCTTAATGACTTGATACAGCTTCTAAGTGAGTCACCTCAGGCTTCAACTTGTCCATTTGTTTGAAGTCTAATCCATGTAGAGGCATTAAAATATCTTCTCAAACCTGCTTTCACTTGGAGTAAGGACCGAACATGGTTGTCCTTCATCTCAACAGTTAATCCTGGAAAACAGTTTCTTCACCTTTATTTTAAAAAAATCTATATAGCCTTTCAGCAGAAACAAGGTGGACTGTTCACTAGTCACTGATATTAATGAACAATTAGTAACCATATGCCTGGTTTCACTTCATTTACATACCTCTGTATTAATCAGATTTGTTATTACCAATCTGTTAATGCCAAATAGCCAGTTTTGAACCATCAGATACTTCAAATAGAGCTTAAAACTGCCAGTCTCATCTCCTGCATGATGCTTTGTTAATAATGACTTTCATTTGCATACTTTGGTTTAGTTCATGCATTATTTGATTTGATCTTTACAGGCAAAGTAGGCCTCTCCATAGTACAGATGAGGAAATCCAGAGCCAAAGAGATTGTGATTGACTCAGTCACATAGCTTGTGAATGGCAGAACTATTCAATTTGGAATTTTAACCAGGTCCTTTTTATTCAGTCTTTGGTTCTTTCTTCTCTATCATGCTAACTCTATTTGTCCTCTAATATTTTTATTTGGAGGGCTTAAAAGCTGTCATAATTTATTATAGAAGTAATAGCTGTTATTTATTTTGCCTCCCTCCCCCCAGGGGTTATTTAAAATCGTTGATCCCTTTCTTCTTTACCCTACTCCAACCTGTTCATGAAAAAATTACTTAAAAAAACACAGGTGTATGTTATTATTTTACACTTAGGCATTTAATGGACTGTTTGTTAGTCATGAAAATGTTGATGGATATGTTTTATAACTTTGAATAAGAAAAGTGTTTTCAAGGCAATCACAATTTATTATGACAAGATGAAAGAACACTCTTACTCATCACTGGCATCGTTCACAGGAGATGTGTGTGTTCTCTTTCTCTTGTGTACTTTATACAAATTTTATTAGCCCTGCTTGCTTTGATGAGATACTGTTGTTCTTTTTCTTATCTTTGTGCTACCTTTTTTTTTTTAACTTTAAAATGTTAAGATTTGAAAATAAATATATAAATCCTAACCTATGAGGGTTTCTGGACTCTGGATTATATACAAGGTCTCCCTGAGTTGAGGAGGAAGTAAATTATAAGTGGGAACAAATGTGAATCTGTAAGTGAGAATGTGAGTGGGTGACTTGAAGACTGAAGGGGACCATAGCCTTAGACATGCTGGACCCATTAGTGATCACAGGACAGGTGGTCAGGATGATGAGTGGAAAGGAATAACCAAGGGAAACCAATGAAATGAAAAATAGAAAAGGATTAGTTCTAATTTAGAGTAGAGTACTTTTAAAAGTTACTGAAATCTTATAGGCAGACCTGTTTAAATTCATTTATTTAAGAAGACTTACTCAGGTTTCATGTGTCCCGATCGTTTTGTGCTGACTTTACCTTGTCAGACTAAATAAAGACTTCCCAGTGAAAGAATCAGAGTTGAAAATCAAATCAGATTTTGACTTTTAAAAGTCCTCTTTTGGAGCTTACGTTCTTATAGAAGTTGATAGAAAAATATATTATTTTCCTTTGCCTTGAAAGGGAGATAGGCTCTAGAACTTGGTAGAGGGGGCTCTGAGTTAGAAAATTTGGACTAATGGGATAAATTGTAAGTCTTTGTATCTTTGATTAGAATGTAGTCATAGAAAGGTGAGGCACTCTCCAAACCTAAAATGAGAGACAGGGGTGGAGGTGGGGAGTGGAGAGGGAAAGAAAGGAGGAGAGGGAGAGAAAGGAAAGGAAAGAGAATGAAATGAATCAGACCAGGGGAAATGGATAAGCTGGGCTGAGTATAGATTTTAATTCTTTTTAGTGACGAAATACTTCACCTTCACAATACACTTAAAGATGTCCTTTATTTTATTCAGATTCTGTGCATTTGTGGGTAAGGAGGGGAAGAAGGGAGGCTTCATAGGAGTGGGAAAAGTTCTTGGAAGCAATGTATTATCGTATTGCTTTTTTAAAGTTAGTCTTTATAATTATGAAAGCTGTCAAACAGACACAAGAATAGAATAAAGTTCCCCATCACCTCAATTCAGTTATTAAGATTTTGCCCATTTGCTTTGTCCCTTTTCTCTTCCTCTTCCTGAAATGTTTTAAAGCAAATCCTTGGAATCCTGTCATTTCACCCCTACTAACGTCAGTGTATATCTCCAAACAATATGGACATTTTCTTACCTAACCACAATGCCATTATCATGTCTAGGTCCCAGAGTATAATTTGATTTTCTTGGTTATCTCCAAAATATCTTTTTATATTTGGCTGGTTTGTTCAAGTAAGGATCCAAACAAACTGTTATATTTGGTTGTTATATTTCTTCAATTTTTCTTAATCTACAACAGCCCTTTCCAACCCTCATTTGAGGCTTCTACCCCCATTAGAAATCCAATCAGTTGAAATGTAAATTGTCCCAAATTCTAGATTTGTCTGATGGCTGCCTTGTGATATCATTTAACTTTGTCCTCTAACCCCTCATGTTTCCTGTAAATGAACTTTTTGGTCCCAGGACCCCTTTATTCTTTTAAATTATTGAAGACCTCAAAGAGCTTTCAGTTATATAGGATTTTATCTATTGATTTTACTGTATTAGAAATTAAAGCTGATAAATTAAAAAAATATATTCATTTATGAATTCATTTAAATAGAGCAATCATGAACCCATTATCTGTTATTGCAAAACATAATTTTAATTTAAAATAACTATGTTGTCCAAAACAAAATTAGTGAGAAGAGTGACATGGTTTTACATTTTGCACGTCTCTAATGTCTGCCTTAATAGAAGACATTCTCATACCTGCTAATGTATACAGTACCTTGTGCTATTACACACCAAGTAGCCTGTAGAAAACTCCACTATATAGGAATGAGAATGAGAAAGGTAAATGTTGTCTTAGTATTATGAGAATGGTTTTGACCTCATGGACCACTGGTGAAAGGGTCCCCTAGATCACACTTGGAGAGACACCTGCCCTAAGAGGCTTGATTCTAAATTCAGGTTCAACTTTTGGGGTAAGAATACTTCATAGGTGGTGATTTTATCATTAGGATGCCCACCATATCTGGTCATATTGATTCCAGGATTCACTGGTGGGCTTAGGTGAGCCATTTTGCTTTTTAATAGGGTAGTATCAGCATTTGTTGCTATTAGTAGCTGTAAGCATATCTGTTTTACCATCTTTATCAGTGTCCATTATATTTTCAATTTTTCCTAATAGGAATAAAAAGTATATAGATCGTTTAGGTTTGAATTTAATAATTGGGTTTTTTGATATTTTCTCATGTGTTCACTTATTTTTATCTATTGCTTATCAATTTATTTTGATCTATACCTATTTGATTTTTTGATGACTTTTCAAATGAATTTGGACAAAATCTTTAATATGTATTTTAAGCCTTATTTTTTCCATTCTATGTTGCCTCTTACCTTTGATTATGCTGTCTTTTACATTGAAGTAATTTCAATTATAGACAGTCAAATCTGGTGATCTTTTTCCTAGTTAAGTCTAGACTTCTGGGAAAATGGAAAAGAGATAGTACCTGAATTTAGAATCTTATAGTTGCAAAGGACTGTAGGAATCAGTCTAATTTTACCCAAAAAAGGGTCGGGGGATGGCCTAGGTAAATGATGGTTTACCCATCTTTACACAATGAGTTGGTACCAGAGTTGAGACTAGAGACTGACTTTCCCAATTCCCAAGTTTTTTTTTCCCCCTCATTCTACCACCATTTCTAATAAGCACCTCGGTTAAACTTAGAATGCTCATCGGAGTACTATTTTAGCTGTTACACCTAGTCGAAAAATACTGTTATTCATTTTTACATACTTTCAAATGTAGAACCACTCTGAGAATTTAAAGTATTGTTGCCTTCTCAGTTAGAGTAAAAAATGATCCAATTTTGACCACTGTTTTGCCTAACAGGAAGCCTGTAGACCTGCAGAACTTGGCTCCCGGGACCCACCCACCATTTATAACTTTCAACAATGAAGTCAAAACGGATGTAAATAAGATTGAAGAATTTCTTGAAGAAGTCTTATGCCCTCCCAAGTGAGTATCAAAGAAAATACGCATGGAAATGTTGCCATCTCTTTAAAACTTTGTGTCACCTGGAATGACTAGGACATCTCTTCATTCAGTATAAGTAATGCTACACAGATGTCAGAATTGGCTTCTGGCTAGGCCAGTAGCCATACTAAGAAATGTAGGAATATGACTAAGCTGTAGAGTACATGGTGAAAATAGGTTTGGAACATGCGAGATAGGTCAGGAAAGACTGGTTGTTTGAGGGATATAGGTTTCAAATTGAGAGAGAAGTTTAGGGAGGAGAAGAGATGGGGAGAGACAGGTTCAGACTGAGCACAGCCAGAATGTCTAAGCAGGTGTGTGGTTTACATTGCTGGGGGATTTCCAATCAGGCCATTTTAAAGGTAACTTTCCAAAGCAACCACCCAAGGGAATTGACTTTTTAGATGTGTCTGTGGGTTCCGTTTCTATTTATGTATTTCTTTGAGATATTCTATCAATATATCCCCAGGTCCTATATGGTTAACGATTTTAAAGTACTATTTCCTATAATGTGCAGTACAGTTGAGGAATAGATGAACTCTAATGACAGTTACCTAAATTGCAAATATGCAGTTTTACATCATACTGTAATCTTGGCATAGTTAGGTTTAAAAGCATTATTGATTTCTTTTAGGCTTTTCAAGTTTCATTATTTTGAAAACTGAACTATTTCTTTTCTTTGGGCCCAAGCCTTTCTTGCTAGTTAACTTATCTTCCATTCCCAGAAAAAATTTCCCAGGAATGGGATTTTTTGGGTCAGAGGGTTCTAAAATAATTAATTTCTCAACGTTCATTCATCCATTCATTCTGCAAACAGTTATCAGGCAACAAAGCCCTGTAGATACAATAGACAATAAGATACAGTTCCCACAGCACAGTCAAATGAGTATGATGGTGGTGGTGGTGGTGGTGGTATGGGAAAGTGATTGGAATCACGAAAAGCTTTAGAGAAGAGATGACACTTGAATTAAACTTTAATTTTTTAAAAAGTGGCATTTGGGCAGGTGAGTGAAGGAGTGACAGTCTTTCCGAGCAGAAGTGTAATTTTGAAGCAATAGTGTTTCTTTTGGGAACCTAAAGGTATGGCTGGAGCGTAGCATGCAGCGTTGGGAATGGTAAGCAGGGAGGGCTGCTAGGAGGAGTGAATAATGATACTTTTGTCTACAACTAGCCCGTCTTCTATTGGGAACAGAATTGCCGTTTGTTTAGCAATCTTGTACTAAGCTTAAAATTTCATTTTCTTAACCCTGTATTATAAAAGTTTGCCCTCTGACTGCCTTCCTGTCTAAGAGCCTCAAACCTCTTTTATCTCTATTTACCAGGCATCCAAACTTTCCCCTCATTCTCAGTAAAGTTTCTCCAGACCAACGTTGATAAAATTATATCTCGACTTTTCCTCCAGGCCTTATATTTGGATAGAATACCAATAAATCAATACTGGGATCTTTGTAAAATATAAATTCAAACTTTATAACCACCAGTAAGGAACTGCTATATGAACATGTATTCAATTTAGTGGAAGTAATTTTGGAAAGTTTGTTGCATTATAGAACCTAATAGATCCCTTTTTATCCTTAAAAGTCTGTCAGCTCTGAGGAAGCTTCCATATTTGCCAACCTGTCCTCATACACTAAGATCTTCCTTTTATGTAACTGCAGATCATTATATCAACATTAAATTATAAATAAACAGTTTGATTTATCATTCTCTCTGAATAAACCTGTATTTTGTTTTAAAGCATTATCTTGAAGTGTTTAATGTATAAATTCTTCCAAGGATATTTAAATTTTTGAAATCAGCATGCTGATAACATTACCATTTCAATCACATGGCATTTTCTCATATTCTCTTTTAGCCTTCTTCAACAGCAACAACGATAACAAAATAAATTTTCATTATTCCTTCTTGTATTTTTCTCAGAGGGAATAGACATTAAGAGAAATAGTAGAGTTAATATCAAAATATTCTGGTTTCTTGATGTCTAGTCCTGTAAGACATCAAAGCTTTTTGAATTGGACTTTGAAAATAAATATTTTCACCTTTTTATATATAGAAATTTCAGCCCCGTTTTGTTTGGGCATATTCATAGAGATATTCTAGCCAGAGATGGTCTCTTCTTTCAGTTTAAATAATTTAATTTAAAACTTTGAGATCTTTCTGTTACAAAGAGTTCACAGTGTGCTAAATTCTCTCTAAGGGTAATTTCCTTGTTTTTATGTTGTGATTTTTATTCTGAAGACAGTTTCTAAGTAGTTTTATAATTCACTTTGTTTAGAAGGGAGTATTTTTGATGTTGCTAATGCCTCTGCTGTTGTTAACTAACATTCAAGTGCTAATTATGTGCCATGCACTGTGCATTGGGATTATTTTGTGGATTATCTCAATCCCCCCAAAGATTTTATGAAGAAACTGAAGATGAGTAATTCAAATAATTTGTTGATGGTGGCAGAGCTGACATACTTACTTTTAAAGCCAGGTCTGTGTGACTTCAAAAACCTATGTTTCCCCAGTTCTCTTCTTTCTGTTTCTCATTTCATTGAGTTTGACTTTTATAAAAGAGGTAAAATGTAAGTCTTGGAATTGAAGGATTGTGCTTTATTGAGTACCAGATTGAAGGCTAGCTCGAGCTTAGAGGAGGAAGGAGAGAAATCCAAGGTGGTTTCCTGTTTCTGGCATTTGATGAGCAAGTTTGGCTAAAGGTGGTTGTCAAACTGAATTGAATGGCTCCTTTTTACATAGTGAGAGAAGTTTCACTTCTGATGGGTTTTTATTTATTCCCATTGGAATAGCACGTTTGGATTGGGATTGCCTTCCCCTTAGTGGGCTCTGCAGCCCATAATGTGAAATGCTCATCAAACGGCATAATCTCTGTCATGCAGAATTGTTTCTAGAGGAGTGGGAGGAAGAAGGGTTTCTGGAACTATCACATGCATCTTTCCCTTTCCTTTATTGTTCTAGAGCATTCAGGGACCATCCTGGCTCCCACTGTCTTTTCTCTCTCAGATTGTAAGCCTCCTTGTTTCCAGGTAGGGTGAGGAGAAAAGTCAGGAGAGTCGCATGAGCTGGTAGACTACAATCTAGCATTTCTAATACCATGTTTTTGGCATTTGATGATACTGAGAACAGGGTGCCTTTTTATGTGAGCATTTCTGATTTAATCACGACAAATATAAATACAGGCAATTATCTACTCCTAGAGTTGTTTCAAATTCAGAGACAAATGAAAAAATGTAAATCAAGCAACTTTTGCTGCTTGATGTAATTATAGGTTTTGAAGAAGAAACTTTCTCTTTCTCTCTGGGCAGAGTGTTTATGTATTTTTTTTAGTTCTCCTTGCTTGAATGAAGGAGCTACTTTGCTTCCTCCACCTCCCCCTCTTTTCAAAAAAGCTTGGAAACTTGGATTTTTAACTGAAGTAGGCCTGTATATTTGGCTAACTTACTGATAAAAGGGTAGAAAGATAAAGCTAGATAATTTTGGAGAAGAGCTCTATAAAGTGTTATTAAGCCTTTTTTTTTAAATGAGTACAGACAATGAAAGGTAAATTTACAACGATAAAAACTGTATAACCACACTTTATTCTTATATTGACATGAGAAAGGAGAAAATGCCTGATCTTTCCTAAAAGGATGGAACTATTCTTAGCTAGTCTACCATCAGTAGTCTGTGATGTAACGCTGAACAAAGGACCATCTGAAAGTCTAAATACCCTGGATGCTCAAATCCGTTCTCTTGTTGACACATAGCCTTTTATTAATTATTTGCCTGCCTTTTGTTAAATGTTAAAATGAATGCTCACAATAATTGAAAATTACTGCTTCATCAAAGTATTTGCTAAAACTAATAATAATCAATGAGTTATTAAAATCCAGTGTTTGCAGGGGTATGCAAAAAGAGTTGGCAACTGATTTTGGACCTATTGATGGTTTAGAATTTGATTTATATTTTAGAACCTGATGTGTAATAAAACAAAACAACATTGCCCCTCAGGACAGGAAATCTGCGTTTTAGTTTGGTGATACTTTTAAGTAATCCAGTGACGCTGGGCCAAGTATGCAAACTTTCTGGAAGATAATTTTCTTTTAGGCAAAATGAGAGATTGAGGTGAGTGGTCTCTTGTAGCTGTAATATTGTATGCATTAAATTAATAATAAAATTTAATGGCTTGGAAGGGAAGAACAGGACGTGTTTAACGTGTTTTAGAGAACAGTGTTTTTTAAGAATTTTAATAGCAACTATTTCCATATTAGTAAGGATGTGCCGATTAAAAGTCCTTCTTCATTCTTACTTGTTCATTAAACTAGGCCTCTAGTAATATGCTTCTGTATGCTCATCATAATGTCCCCAGCACTTAGTACAATGCCTGACACACAGTAGATATTTAATTAGAATAAATGAATATATATATGAATAATGAATATATAAATGATCTGTAATTCAAGCCTACCTTCCTGTAAGTTATTTTGAGAATCATGACATTTACTTCATTAGAAAAAGTTGGTACAGCTAAATATTGGTTGGGGAATAGAGGACTAATTTTGGAAACTTGGATAGAAGACGACATACGAGTATGTATTGAAGAGGCGCTTATGTTCCTTGCACTATTTTTTGTTTGGAATGAGTCAATGAAAGTACTGTATTACCAGTGGAGAAAATATTTAAACTGGAGGCGGGTTGTTTTTATAGTCAAGGGAAACCCAGGGATATTGAAGCAGGGATTAACCGTTACAGCTCAGGCAGGAAAAATAAACTCAGGTGAAATTCATTTACTATAATCGTTCACTGAAAACCTCGTTATGTAAATAACTTCATTTAGAAGAGAAACCTTTAAGCTTAAAAATTGAGATTAAAAAGAAAGAAAATGTGAACATAGAGGTGAAAGATATTTTATATTCTTCTTACCAATACTGTACTATGTCCATTTTTTAGAAGATTTTATATCTCTTCGTGAATTCAAAATAGTGAATGTGAAAAATAGGAATATAAAAACTAACCCGAAACTGAACCTTACAACTGAACTAAATTTCTATAGGAAAATACCTTATCTTCATTTTTAATTTAAAGTGGCAAGACAGCACCTTAAAACATATGAATAAATCTGAATCACCAGTTTAATGTAAGATTTTTTTCCAAAGTCTTACTTCCCCCAAGCCTATTTTTTAGTGAAATTTTGCACAGGGTCTTTTAGCTGAGGAATCTTCCCAAAAAACGGTTCTATGAGTCCGAATTCCTCTAGTCCGACTCCCAGGAGCTGATGCCCAACTCTGCTGAAGGAAGGAGTGAGGTGTTCAGTTTTTTCACATGTATTTTCCAATTTGAGGAAGAACTATATGGGTATGTGTTTGAAATTTAAATATGTAAAATACATATTTGTGTGGTGTTAAAAAGCTGTTGTGTCACAAATGGCTCTTCTCAAAGTAAAAAAATTTGTAACAACACAACAGAGCACTTGTTAGCAACATTCCTGACATATTATTTTTCTGTTGCCCAGGGCCACTCTTACAAAATTTAATATACGGGAGATTTTGGAAAATCCCGAGTGTAGGGTGGTCTGAAGTGAGCGATCTGCCTCTTGCTGTTTGTGTCTCTAACCTACTGTGGATGAGCAAGGCCCTGGCCCAGCGCAGACACTTCCTGCTGCCAGCGTTGGCTGGTACTGCTGCACACGGCTGGTTCAGTGCATGGCCCGCCAGGGACCTGGCCAGCATTCCTTTTGAGAAAGCTCTACCATTGAAACATGGCTAGTGCAACTGAGAAAGTGAATTTTTAACTTTATTTAATTGTGATTAATTTAAAATCATATTCAAATAGCCACATATCACTAATGGGCTACTGTATTGGACAGAACAGATAGAGACTATTTCCGTCACCACAGAAAGATCTCTTAGCGCTGTTCCAGAGTTCTCTAAGACAGACACCCATTGGTTTGGCACAGGTCCCTGAACAAGTAGACCATTTCCCCAGCATTTTAGTTTACAAGGTGGAGGTAGAGTGCGGATGCCTTTTGGTTACCAAAAATATTAACGTGCACAAAAACACTTTGCAGAACTTTGCTTCCTAAGGAAAAAGACAAAATAAAGAAAATAGATGATGGCATTTCTTTTTCTTTTTTTTAATTGGGGGATGGGAACAGCGCTGGGGAATTGGGTGAAGGGGAACAGACAAGTTGCTGTCCTTTTGTTCTTCAGTCTAGTTGTGGAGGACGTTGCTTCACTGGCCCAAGTTGGCACCATCATTGCACTCTTCCCGGGCGAGGCAGATCAGTCGCAGGCTTCTGGAAGGCCGCTTACTGCGGCTGCTGGCTACACACGATAGCCCATGGCAACCCATTGCAGGGGCTGCAGCCTACGCTTTCATCGCCAGCGACTCATGGCAGCCCAGCTCCAGGTTGAGCTGTTGTTCAGCATCTTAACTTAGAGGGCAGTGTCACTGGCCCTCATATGTGGGATCTGAACCGGGGCCCTCCGGTGTCCCAAGCCAGCTCTTAACCAATGCGCCACTCAGCTGGCCCATGATGGCATTTCTTAAGAGTAGTAACTATTAACAGATGGCTGGTAACTGCTAGCATGTGGTTTGTTGATTGAGAAAATGTATGCTAATGTATTTTTGGAAGATGTATAACCCATTATCACTTTTTCCATTTAGGTACTTAAAGCTTTCACCAAAACACCCAGAATCAAATACTGCTGGGATGGACATCTTTGCCAAATTCTCTGCATATATTAAGAATTCAAGGCCAGAGGCTAATGAAGGTAAAAAAGAAGTGAAAACAACAACAAAAAGCCCACAAAAAAACCCTATTGTGACAGTGATTATAAATGCATACTTTGGAGTCCAGACATTCCCATAAGTATTAAAAACTAGCTTTTAGAGTTGATCAGAGATTTGATGATCAACCAGGATAAGTCCTTAAGTTGCTGGTTTTTTGTGTTTTTTTTTTTTTTTAATGTTTCTAGCTCATGGGACAATGTCTAGCAATATAGTAGGTATGTGATAAAATGTTTATTGAATGAATTTGTTCTCATTCTTTTGAGAAGTTACTGTGAAGGGAGCTAGGCAATGAATTAACGGTGCATCAAAAACAGTGAATTGGGTGGGTAAGCTACAAATGATACAGTTTAACTTAAACCTTTACTAAATCTTTGGTTTACTGTTGGGTGCCAGCTTTTTAAAATCAGCCTCTGTGGATTTTTGTGCTAATTACCCTTAACGAGCAATTTTTGGAGTTGCTCTAAGAGAGCCCTTAGACTTACCAGCCTTCCAAATTTCTCTGCATCCTAAAATTAGGATTTTAGTTTGAAGTCGTATTTTCATGGTGATAATTGTTTAGGTAGTACGGATGCGATTTTCTTCTTTTATTTATTAAAGGACACTTTCCTATTATTTCATTTACCAAGCATATTTGGCATATTGAAGGGAAGTCTCTTTGAAAGAGGTCCCATTTAATGAACCTTGTCTTAGCCACACCTTTCAGTAATTTCCGTATTTCTTCCCATCGGAATGTTAAGCATTGTTCTCTCTGGAGAAGACTGTGCAGAGAGAGCATTAGCATTTAATTAAAAGTAACAACAATAACCACAAACCAGCTCCTAAAGATGCTTTAGTCCATCATCGTTTTAGACAGTGGAGTTTTTTCACATGTGTTTTCCAATTTGAGGAAGAAATACGTATATGGGTGTGTGTGTTTGAAATTTAAATATATAAAATACATGTTTGTGTGGTTTCTAATAAAAGCTGTTGTGTCATGAATACCCCTTCTCAAAGTAGAAAACTCTGTAACAACACAATACAGCACTTGTTAGCAAAATTCTTGACATCTTATTTTTCTGTTGCTCAGTGCCTCCCTTACAAAATTCAATATATGGGAGGTCTTGGAAAATCCCGAGTGTAGGGTGGTCTGAAGTGAGCTGTCTCTTGCTGTTTTTGTCCCTAACTTACTGTGGATGATCAAGGTGCTTGCCCAGCCTAGTGGAGATCTTTTGAGTGGAAGGTGATGGCAGCAAATGAACGAGAATTCTGAAGGGGGGAAAATATCAGTGGCGGTTAAGCAAGAGTAAACATCTTTTAAAAAAACACTATTTCCTTGTTTTTATCAGTAGACAGATTTCCAAGTGATTCAGGCTGTTATTTTTTTTATTAAAATTTTAAATTGTAGCATTTTATAATTCAGTATTGAATTTCAATGGTTCTTGGAATAACATCCAATGCATGAAATGTTTTTCTGCAGTGAAGGGAGAAAAGGGAAGAACATTAGTACTCAGGCCTGGCTTACATCTTTTAAATGTGTTGCAGTAGCTGCCTTGGTTTGGGGGCAATTTTTCTTAGTAATTGGCTTTTTTCCTGACTAATGTTTCTGTCTAAGCATTTTATACACTAAGTAAACAGTTAAAATGGAGCCTCTCTTATCCACAGACAGTATCTTTTCTGTTCTGCCTTTTCCTTCATGCAGGTGACTGTTCTTTGCATAAAACTATCTTTTGTACCCAGATGCTCTTGCTGCATAGTTTTTTGAACTCTTAAAGTCATGTTTTTATTTCTCTCGGTGTGGTTTTGGAAGCTGGAGGGTGGTTGATTTTTTTTTTTTTTTGACACTTGGTGGGAGGAGAGGAGAATAAAATGTGTTTGCTTAAAAAAAAACAATTGCTTTAGTGGATGGGGTTGAGGAGAGAGAATAGGGGAGAAAGTGAGTCATTTAAGTATAACTTTGTATTCTATTTTTTCCTATCAATTTGTTATACTGTCTTAAGTGGCCACCAACACTTACTGTTCTTAGAATTCTGTAACCAAATAGGAACAAACAACATAGTGGATTACACAGTGCATAACTTAGAAGGCCTTATATTAAATTACCTATTGGTAAATAAGAATTCTAGTTGCCAAGCAACTTCCCCCCACAGGGGCCTGTCACTGCCTTGAGACTTTTCTAAAGAAAACAATGTTCAAAATCTCCCTTATATATATTTGTTGCAGGTCTCTTATCTGTTTCATGCAATTAAATGCCTTAAATAAGCCTAGGAAATTAATGATCCATCTCCTTATTCCCCCAAACAATAAATAATTTACATAGAAATGGATTTGTCATTTTACATGGTAAATCAGAGTAGGCAGGTTGTTTTTATGAAATAATATTTCATATTCGGCCTATGAAATATTTTACAAAATCGAATTGGTTTCAACAATTTTAAGACCTAGTTCTAAGCAAGGGATCAGATGCTTAGCTGCTACAATTTTGGGCTAGTGAAAGTGAAACAGAAGGGCCAATACTTAGATTGGGGTACAAAGTAAACAAATAAGATTTAAAGAATAAAATAAAGGGAAATGCTGATATAGATAGATAAAATATATAATTCTTTTGATAACAAGTCCAAGTTGGTTGGGAGTAAGAGTTTGTGTAATCTTTTGAAGCATTAAAAGAGAAATTAATGAGTAATTCCTTTTATGGGGATAAGCTGAGTATGACCTGTCCCAGATCTCCTCAGCTTTTTTTGGTTCGGTCATTTCATTAATTTATATAACTTATTAAGCTCCCAAATGTAACTAATAAATAATTTATTAGTCTATTTGACGTTTATAATATTTGTAAGAGATCCATGAATTTAGCAGTGATGAAATCTGCCATTCTAGGCTCTGAGGCATGTTCCGCAATGTCCACATTCCTAGTTTTAAAGAGAGGCAGAAGCCTGTAGGTTCTGATCAGTTCGTTTTTATTGAAGATTCATTCTCCCTTCATCAGTGCCTCCCTCTCTCCCTGGAAAAGCTTTTGGAATCAGAGGATGATTGTTCATCATTGTACCTATGAAACTGCAGTGTATATTTAATCATCTTTGAATACTCATTACCTTGCCCTGTTTTCCTCTGATGTGTTAAAAATTGTGTACGATTACCCTTTATTAAAACTACCAGTAGCTTTAATATATAGTTCTAGCCATGTAAATGCTCATAATTTTGGGGGTTTATTTTATGTGAATTGTATTGACTTGTTACATTTAATGTTTTCTGCTTTGCATTAACTCATTCGAATTATATAGGTAATTGAGTAATACATTCTTATTGAAAAAGTTAAAAAATAGTATAGAAGTAAATTTAATAAAATTTCAGAGCCCCTTAATCACATCATATAACCTCTTCCCCAACAGTATGTATCTTTATTTCTATGTAATTTTGCAAACATTGTACATATATGTGTATTTATATATATATTTACATTATGCATTTGTCTTTTTCACATATTATGTGGTGGAAATCCTTCAAAATATAGATCTACCTCATTTTTTAGAAATGCTGCTTAATATTCTATAATACGGATTTGTATTTAACCATTTCCCTGTTGGGAGACATTTAGATTGTCTCAAGTTTTTTTTTTTATTATGACAGACAATGCTGCCAGTGAATATCTTTGTGAAATAGGTCAAAAGGTTTAGTTCTCCAAAAGTCTACACCAGTTAATAGTCCCACTAACATTAAAGTATTTATTTCCCCACTCTTCTGACCCTGGTGTGTGTGTATATGTGTGTTAATCTTTTAAACTTTGCTATGTTCTCATAGGCAAAAAAGGGTGTTTTGATTTTCATAATTAATTAAATGACTGTATGGCTTCTTTTCCGTTACTAATTTTTTTGAGAGCTTTTGAAAGACCTTCTTAGGGACACCAGTATTACTACAACAGGGGTATTAGAGAATAATAGTGCCACTTATTAATTATAAGACAAGGAGCTACTTTCTGATGGCCTGCTACTGCCTTCTAGTGGTTAATCCCAACATTTTCTTTGTTTTAACCAACTTCAAATGCCTTTGTGATGGTTTGTCTTCAGAACTTTATTATGTTTATTGAATGATGCTCTTTAGTATTTTTTGTTACTTCTGTTTTTCTTGTTTTGTTGGCCATTCCTACATGAAAATTGTATCAAACTAATTCAGCATTCTTTGTTTTCACTAATATACCCTTTATTTTGATAATCTTTTTTTCGTTTTTTAATTTTATTGGGGGAGCAACCATAGTCATTGGTTATACATCGCTTTCATGCTACAGTGGCATAGGTGACTCTTAAGGAGGGCACAGCTCATAGTGGCCCATAGTGGGGATCGAACTGGCAACCTTGGTGTTATCAGCGTGATGCTCTAATCAAATGAGCAATCAGTCACCCCCAACATTCTCAACTATGAAAAAAATCACCTAATATTCTCGTCAGGTACAGCAATTCACCTTTATTGCAAGTGCTGCTAAGTCCAAAATTATAGAAAGAATAACAACTGTAATGTTTTGTTAGCTTAATTTTAGTCCGTGCCTTACATATAGGATTACAAATATGTATGTTATCAACCTTGTAAATTTAGGATATTTTATTGTCCTATTGATACTTTTGAGAACGAATTCAGGAAAAGGATTAATTGAGAGCAGGTCGAAGATTATAAACTTGCTCAAACTTGCCATACCACTCAAGTGCCATTTGGGACATTATTTCAGTGTTTGAGTTCAGGCAATATTGTCTTCCTTAGAGGCTCTGATTCTGTTCATTGTAATCAGATCAAAGAATAAGTCCTCATATCTAATTTGTATTTATTCTGTATGCACTGTTTTTGACAGGAAGCATATTGAGTATTTAATTTTTTCCTTCCACAGACCTGAGATTCTCCTGTTTGTTTGTTGGTTTTTTCTTTTTAAGTATAACCATGAAAAGTTTTCCATCATGCCCAGGTCTCCTTACTAACCTAGATATTTCTCACATTGTGTTCTTTTGTTAATTTATAAACT